GGGGTGATGTGCTCTACTTTCTTAGTCTTAGTGAGGACACGGGCAGCAGCAACCATACCACGCATATTGCTTTAGGTTAATAAACTATATTAATTAGGCTATGTATGTTTCCAAAAAAAAATAATAATTTTCCCCTCTCCCTTTTTTTTTTTTTACAACTAGATTAGTGCTTCTCGCTCAAGATGGAGATAGGCATATGATGGCTTTATCTGCAATTTAACAGTGATTCTGGCACTGACTCTACTGTATTCACTGCAGACTTCTCTGCCCTCGTTTCATCCAGGAATGAGCGTGGAGATGATGGCCATGCTGCTGGTGTCGGTGATTCAGGGACAAGTTGTTTCTGCATACAACATTGAAAAGCAGGAGGCCTGTGAGCATCTGGACCAGGTCCATCAAACGCCTCACAGCTCATCAGCGCCTCAAATGGCCTCTCTACAGGAAACGGTACTGTAACACTGCAGTAGGGATAAGCTTCAGCTAATATTTATAAAGAAGGTTTGGCAATTTTGTGCAGGCTTTGAACTCACCTGTTCCCAGGGAGATCTCATAACCCTATAATTTACTGTAGTTGTATTGAAGCAGGCATTGTTTCATGTTAAGGTACTAATCTTACAAAGGTTTAGGTAACATAAAACAGTTAAAACAGGTTTCATTAAAACAGTGAAACTGAAAAAAACCAATTTTCCTTCTGTGGGCTTTGATTTAGGATTCAGAGATCAAACATTTTTTACTATTAACTAAATGCATCAAACCTAAGAACTCCCATCGCTCTATAAACTAACACCGAGCACTTTCTAAGTTCTAAGTTTAAAAAAGAAAATTAAATAAAGGTTAAAGACAGGCTCTGATGCCTAAATAAGAAAATCTCATTATTTACTGATTTTAAGTTGACACTAACAAAAAAGACTATTTTTGACCCATGTCAAACACTCTTTAGAATAACAAATTAATTAAGGAATACAAAAAAAATGATTACAGAACATGAAAACAGAAAAATGTGGCTACATGTGAGCAGCTTTGGAGTTGTGCTTTTTTCAGCATGTTATGAGCATTTTATGTGTGATAGATCTTTAAAAAGAAGCATGTGGGTGTCAAGTGTCAAACTAACATCTCAGCCTTTATGCAAACCGTTCAACCAGAACATTCTGCGGTGCAACGAGGAGAGGTGTTATACCCATCAGTAGTTTAAATATGTACACAGAACCTTTTTTTTTTAAATAACCTTTTTTAATTCTTAATCATAGGTGGTATTCAGGAGATTGGTAAAGGCAATGAATATGTAGGTTTAAAGCGTTGTTGATTAAAAAGTGAATAAAAAGAAAAGATATGCATGTTTTAAACATGCCGTTGCATCAAGTATATTAAAAATTAACGGAGGCAGCTCAGAAGTTCAAATACGTCCAACCTATCAGCACAGGGTCCCAAATTGAGTGACCAGTGAGGATGGAGCGAAATTAATTAAATACAGCTTATAAGCATAAACACCTCATAGCATAGTGGTAGAGGGGTAGTGATGTGGGGACATTTTGCAGCCCCAAAACCTGACAGCTCGCTTTCATGAATTGATCTGTGATTGGCTGCAAACTTTTAAAGAAGAGAGGGACCTGCACAACAGTTATGGACACCACCAAATTTACTAAAAGTTTTCTTTGCATTATTGTTTTCCCTGATTCTCCTTACAGACACTTTATTTAAAACATTGGTGTAAATATCTCTATGTTTTCATTAAAAGCCCCTCTTTCTATTTTTTTTTTTTTTTTTCAAATTGAAATACAAGGTATCAACTCAAAATGTTCTCTTGGGAGCTGTTTTAAATTTTATCCCTAAATTTCATAAAAACAGTTTTTATACATCAGGTTTTGACAAACTCCCCCTTCATGATTCTGTCCACATGAAACCGGATTTCATCACATTTCCTGCTGGAGTAAAATAAAAAAAAGATCTGACTTTGTAGACAGCAAAACATGCATTAATTATGAGGTACACTTCCTTGTGTTTGTTTTGCCTCCAGCGAAAGGCTTTCCTGACCTCAGCTGGGGTCACAGGCGGATTGTTTCTCCTCAGCAGCTTGGTTCTTTTCTTTGGCGTGACGGAGCAGCGGGGGGAGTCGGTCGGACACGGTCAGTGGTCCCACTCCACAAAAAAAACACAAAATAAGCTCTGTGTGCTTTTTCTAGGAGAGCAAACTTTATTATTAGACAAAAATACCTATTTCATACACCTAGTGACCATTTTGTTTAACTATATTTTAATGTCACCCAGAACTGATTAGAGCCAGAAATGAGAAATCAAGCAAACAGAACATGTCTGACATTATCTATCTATATCTCAATAATCTTAAAAAGTAAAACATTTTACCCCCAGTAAAGAAATCTAAAAATAGTCAGTCAAAGTTACCAATATATATACGTCTGGAAAGGTTTACAGAGTTATTTCTTAATTTTTGTTTCTTCAGCAAACCATAAAAGCATTTTTATGCAGCTTAATTCAAACGAGTCGATGATCCCAAGGACTCTTGGAGAAATACTTTGTGAGCTGCCAAAACGGAAAATAAACTTTTAGGGAGTCATACCTCTAGTTACATCTTGCATAAAAATAACATAATTTCAGCCATAACTACAGTGAAACAGGGTGGTGCAATGGAAAAAATCAAAATCTAGGTAAGTCATTTTTTCTTAAAATTTGTGCATTTTTTCTTGGATTAAGGAGGTAAAAGAGACATTTTGCCAATAGAACAAGACAATTTACACTTAAAATAAGAAAACACAATTGCATTGTCTTAGTTCAAGCGCATATTATGTAATTATCCTATTTTAAGAATAAACATACTCATTCCATTGGCAAACTATCTCATTTACCTACTCAAATCAAGGGTAAATACACTTAATTTCAGATATGTTTTACTTATTTCTATATCATTTTTCCAGTGTGGTAGTGTGGTGGTCTGGTTTGTTAAAAGAAGTAAGATCAAACAACACAGCCAGTTCTCTTTTGGATCTCTTTTTACAAATTTTAGGGTTTTGTTTATGGCCTAGTCAAAGTCTAGATAAAAATCTCATTGAAATAGTGTGGCCTCATCTTATCTTAACATCTAGGGTCATATACCCTCCAATGAGGTAAAAAGAAGAAATAAAAATCCTCCACAGTGACGTAAAACAACGCTGCTGACAGTCAATACCTTTAGTTATTTTTTCCATAAAGGTTTGATATAAACTGCCTTATTCTCCCAACAAAGGAAACTATCATTTGAAAGCTGCATTCGTTATTTGCACAGTGTTTTTATTGTAATTTCTGTGATATATTTTTATCCCGTTTTGTTCCCAGACACCCTCTGTCCCAATGACAGAACAAGACCCTCATATCTGAGCTCCGTAAAGATGCTAATATGTCACATTCCTTATCAACGACTAGTCCTCGGCTTTGTCTTTAGTGTACTTGCTTTCCAGGTATATTTAAAGATCCATGTCCATAATCCTTTTTTTTTTCACTTTTAGCTGTTTTATTTAAACCAAACTCATACATGCATCTAAAAGTCTTAAGCTTTTCCTTCTCATTTTGTTCGACCCCAGATGTCTTTGGGTAACTTTGCACTGTTCTGCAGTCACGCAGCGGGACTGGGAGCTTATTTTCAGCTTCTTTTGCTGGTCCTATTGGTAAGAAGGATGTTATTGTAGCATTTTTAGTTGAATCTATTTACATTTAAGTCCTGGTTTACCTCTTGTTGCATCTAAAATGTATATATTTTAAACCTTTCACAGATTTCAGCTTTAGTCGCGGTTCCATTTTGGCAATTTGTCCTTCTGAAAATTGGGAAAAAAAGGACAGTTTTCATTGGATTTGCAGTAAGAAATTTGATCTTTTTCTCCATCACTCTTTACAGCTTTGTGTTTTTTTTTGTCCCTCTAAGGTCTTTTTATTTCTCCTGCAGCTCTTCATCCCAGCCATGATCACAGTTGCATGTGTTCCCAGCAACCTCCCAGTTTTTCTGAGCATGTGCATTCTGTTGGGATTCAGCGTGGCGACTTTGTTCCTGCTGCCTTGGTGAGTCAGCTGTCTGTCTGAATAAAAAGTCCCACATCATTTCTAGCGCCTGTCAGATTCAATTTGTATGAAAACTGAATGCTGTGTGCATGAATTAATCATCAGATCTACCTGCCCTCAACCAGTGAGTTCTGCAGAAACTTTCCTACTACTCAGAAGTCTTCACCTAAAAAAATTTCTTATTTTTCTGCCTACATGATACAGGTCAATGCTCCCAGACGTGATTGATGACTTTGCCTTGAAACATCCGTTGTTTAAAGACCTGGGCCCTCTGTTTTTCTCTGGTTATGCCTTCTGCAATAAGCTGGCAGGGGGGTTGTCTGTGGGACTGTCAACCATGATATTACAGCGAGTATTTCCTTTATTACTCCGATTTAGTCTCTGTGTGCATTTAGTTTGTCTGAGCATCACTTAGTGTTTTCCATTTGGGGCTGTGCTTGTTTGCAGGATCGTAGGCTACAAAGCAGGTGTGTGTAACCATGGTGATGAAGTGGCGACAGCACTGATTGTGCTGTTCTCACCAGTTCCTATCACACTGCTGCTGATAGGGATGGGAATCTTTCACACCTACCCCGTCAATGAGAGGAAAGGCTTACAGCTTGAGGAACAAAAGTATGAGGATCTTTTTCTTCACTGTTAATTAAATCATGTCAATAATTCTCTGTAGTGTTGTTGTCAGGACCACAACAACAGAGACAAGGCAAGCAATACATTTAGAGGCAGAGACCAAGTGCTCTGAACTATATTGTTTATAGATGCAAGATAAAGTCATTCCTCCTCTTTGCCACTTTAATTGCCGTTTTAATTGTTTAA